ATCCTTCCCCAACTTGGTCTCACCCAAGATGGTGGCTCCTCGAGCAGATGAGTGTCTCGAATTAGAAAGCAATGGATTCCTTGCTTCTGCCACAAATTCCCCCAGCTGTAAGCCTTCTAACCTTCTAAATATTCCTTTATATGTGGTTCAGAGTTCTGGGACCATCCCCTGAGTCTGCTTGGTCAGGTATTCTGTGTAGTTGTTGGTGGAACTCTGTACTACATGTCCACCCAATCCTCCATCTTGTTTGTTCTCTGGAGCAGTTTTTCTGCCCATACCCAACGTAATCCCTGATTATTTTGTAACCTTCCAACTCCATGGGTTTCTGTGTTGGACTATGTAATTGTAACATACCTCTGGTTCCCAATAAAGACCATCATTTTAGTTTAAAAAAAGTAGGGGCGGGGGGCACTGAGGAAGTGCTTATTACAGTAAGCTGCTCACTGAAGAACTGAAGGCTGAGCGTAAACTTTGGAACTTTGGCTTAAATGCAGAGGACTGCTAACCAAGGGCATTGTGATCTTGCCTGACAATGCATGTCCAGACACCTCTGCTCACACTGTAAAAAAATCATTTTGAAGTGTTAAAGCACTCTCCGTATAGTTCTGATCTTGCTCTATGGAACTTTCACCTGTTTGGTCCCCTGAAAGCAGCCTTTTGAGGACGAAAATTCACCTCTGGTGAAGTGAAGACAGTGGTGCAATTTGTGGCTCACAGCTCAGCCTAAAACATTTTTTAATAAGGGAATATGAATGCTTGTTGACATATGGAAAAAGTGCATTGATGAGGAGAATAAGTTGAAAAATGACATGTGTCTTCTCTAAAAGTTGATTAAAACAAATTGTACAGTAAAAAAAAAGGTGTGGGTGCTGAGTTAAGTTCTCGTTTATACAGTGGGATCTGGATACCTAACAATGCTAGGAAAGATGGTGAACAGCACAGCAAGTCAGATAAAGGCATTTACTGTTGGCTAGTTTTGAACTAGGGTAGGCTTTATATGTCTAAGACTGTCCTAAGCACTTTAATCAACTTATTTAATTCACAGAATGTATATGAAAGAATAGGTTAGAAATTCCTAGGAAAACACAAAGGTCAGAAAGTGAAACTACAAAAGAAACATCAAATTTTAATTTGTTAGAGAGATTGAAACTGTGATTAATAACTTCCCCCACAGAGAAAAATGTGGAACAAAACTCAAAACCAAAAAAGACCAGGCTTAGTGGTCAGAGTGAGACTGGCAAACTCCCTTAAACTCCAGCCCTTAGTCATCCTTCAGGTCTGGATGTGAACTCACCTCCATGGTTTAATGTCCAGCCAAACAATAGGCAGGTCTATGACGGAAACAGTAACACTATAGACATACACACACCTTAGAATAATCAACCATTTGAGATCAAAAGAGTAGCGTTTACCCAAGGACAAAGTTCAGAAGAGTTAGAAGAGAAGAATGGAAACAGGAAAACAGGAAGGAAGTGGAATCAATGACATTTACATTGCGGAATTGCAAACAACGACACGAAAGAAAATGTTTGTAAACTGTTGAATGGAACTTGGATCTGCTCTATAAACCTTCATACAATTCACAATAAAAAGTAAAAAAAAAAAAAAAACTTCCCACAAAGCAAAGTACAAACCCAGATTGTTTCACTGACAAGAAATTGTTAATACTAACTTTACACAACTCTTTTGAGAATATACAGAGGAACACTTCCAAATTCATTTGATATGATCAGCATAATCTTCATATCAAATTCTGACAAGGATGTTATCAGATTATAGACCAATAGCCCTCAAAAGCTTGTTGTTGTTGTTATGTGCTGTAGAGCCGGTTCTGACTCACAGCGACTCTGTACAGGGTTTCCGAGGCTGTAAATCTTTACGGAAGCAGAACGCCTCATCTTTCTCCTGCGAACGGCTGGTAGTTTCTAACTGCTGACCTTGAGATTAGCAGCTGGATTCGTAACCGAGGCAGAATTTTAAACAGGCATTTCTTCATCCTGCTCCACTTCCCTTCTCTTCTTTCTGAACCACTGAATCCTAAATCAATTAGATGGAGCAGAACAAGGTAGGCATCTCTGAGGAACAGGCCCTGGCATGGGGTGTGAAAACCCTACGAGAGATGAGGCCAGTGTAGGCAGTGGCTTGTCGTGACATGTTGGAGCCCACTGCAGAGTGCAAACAATTTGTTGTGGGAAGATCATTTGATACAAAAGTCTGTGAAAAAATTTCCATCACTTAATTCCAGTTTTCCATTGTTTTAAAGCCTCCTCATGTTAAGTCCCTGGAAGGTTTTCTCTTTGAGTACATTTTCTCATAAAATATTCAATACCTTATGAACTTTCAAACTTACTTGAAAAGAGTAGGAATTGTCAGGAAAAGCTATTTTCACTGAATTAACATTAAATTTGGTATACCGCTTGTTTGTACTGTTTCAGATAGTACAGCCACAAAATTAAATGGCACTCCAGTTAAAGTTCTGGTTTTTAAACAGTGATTTATTAAGAACAGGTAAAAAACCTCTTTCCTATAGCCACTTCAAGATGACAGAAGACTCGACAGAAAGCTTTAGCAAATTTGCTATTCCCCATGAGGTGGAACTCTGTGATGAGAACAGAATTAAAACCATAGGAATGACAGAGACGCCCATGTGCTTTTTTCCAGAATTTACTATTTCTAAAAGGTAGAAAATACAAAAATTATCAAAAAAATTTAGAAGGCTCATTTTGGGACTAAATGTTAGCACTGAAATTTTTTCTGGTAATTGATTTAAGGTAAAAGGTGGAACTAATATGGGAAACACAGCAGCTATTGCTGTCCAATGTGATGCTCACTTGCACAAAGGCAGAACAGAGTGAGCTGACCTAAGCAAATATCCACCCATATCCGGACCTTAGTAACAAGCTTCAAATGGTTTCAGTTTCCAGGGTCCAAAAGGAAGATCATTTTGTATGCTTTGATTCCACTTCTTCAAGAATCCACTGAATGCCATTCAAAAAACCAGCTAGAGTCTCAGCCTCCGTATCCTGAACCTATAAAGAAGAGAGAGTATTATCAATAAGAAACTGAATCCAAAACCTTATGTTTAATAGGGAGATTTTTCTAGACACCAAAAACACAGGACTGAAAAAACCTCAATCAACTTTAGGTGAGTTATAAAAGCTTTGTCTTCAGTGTTTGTGGTGGTGGTTATATATGCCGCAGAGTGGGTTTTGACTCAGAATGACCCTATCTTTCTCCTGAGAAGCAGCTGGTAGATTCAAACTGCTGACCTTACAGTTGGCAGCCCAACTTGTAACCCACTACGCTGCCAGGACTCCTTTGTCTTCCATTGTAATTGTTGTTGTTTAGTGATGTGGAATCAGTTCTGACTCATAGTGAATTTGAACCACTGACCTGTAAAGATTTACAGCCTCGGAAACCCTATACAGGGTCATTTTAAGTCAGAACCAACTCTATAGCACACCACTTAAGTAAGAGATGAGTAAGAACTAACAAAATCAAATTGAAAATGAGTGGAAAATAAAAAAAAAGATACTGCTCACCAGACAAGATAGGACCTTACCATCCATGGGTGGTTTAAAAGATTCAAACGCAGTTCATGGGCCAAATAAAAACAGGGCATTCTTTTCACATCCGCTTGAGAAATACAAGATAATACCAGCATTGGTCTTCCTGAAGATCCAAAAGCTGGATCTGTCATTGCCATAATATGAGAAAACTCATCTTGCCATTCGTGTCCTAAGGAAGGTAAGTCAAAATCCTTAATTTGTTTTACTTTAAAAAATAAAATAAACAAACAAGGAACAAAAAAATGACCAGGATCCAAGCATATCAAACTGTTTCTATTGCTATGTTCACTTACTGTCATAAAATTAATGAGCTTTGTAAGCATAGCATTCTAGAAGAAATGAATGAGGGGTGGGGCTGGAATCACAGTACCATTCAGATGTCTGTATAGCTTAAAAGCAAAAATGATTTGACACAGATAATTCCCTCTCACCAACCTAAAGCCATTACTATGCTTCCTCTCAAAGGCCATATTTATGAAAGTTTTACCTTACAACAATTCTCAGGACCACAGTTTAGTAGCACTGGGATAATACAGTATTTATTTGCTTCTTTAAAATCTCCAATTTCCTCTCTCTCTCATAATAAGGACCATTATAATGCTTTTATTGTCCTCATAAAGACTAATAAATAGCCAATTCCACAAAGATTGGAATTAACAGACAGAGAATAGACAATAAGATCAAAACTCACAGGCACTGGAATCACAAGATAAGAGTTCAAATCTCATGCCTATGTGACTATTTCATGTAAATTTAATCTAAGTTCCAATATCCTACAAATTAGAGAAAATTATATCTATTCATGGAGTCCTGCTATGGTACTGTAGACTAAGCACTGGACTGCTAATTGCAAGTTTGGTGATTCAAACCCAAAAGCCGATCATTGAAAACCCTATATAAGGTTGCTATGAGCTGGAATCGACTCATCAGCAATTAACAACGATATCTCTTCACAGGTTGCTGTAAGAATTTTAAATGGTACAGAAATAGTACACTTCCTAGCAAAGACAAGGAGACCTAGTAGTGTAGTGGATTATGAGCTAGGCTGCTAACCACAAGGTCAGTAGTTTGAATCTACCAGTCCCTCCTCAGGAGAAAGATGAGGCTTTCTACTCCCATAAAAATATACAACCTTGGGAACTCTTATGCAGGGTTGCGATACGTCAAAACTGACTTGTTGGCACACAACCTCCACCACCAATTTTTGTTGTTAAGTGCTGTCAAGTCGGTTCCAACCCATAGCAACCCTGAATAGATAGGGTTTCCGGGGAGCAGCTGGTAAGTTTGAACCAGTGACCTTGTGGTTCAAACTGACTTTGCAGTCTAGCTCATTAACCCACAGCACCATACCAGGACTCCACCACAACCATTAGACTTTGATTTGTGGAGTCCTAGTGTAGCTCTGTAGGATAAGCACTGGACTGCTAACTGCAAGGTCAGCAGTTCGAGTCCCCCATCTACTCCTTGGAACCCTATACAGGATCAATATGAGTTGAAATAGACTTGAAGGCACTTAATAACAACAACAACAAATAGCAGCTACTACTACTTTCATTGTCTAAATCATTACACTCTGCTACCATCTAGTAAGCATCACAATTTTTTTTACTCTATTTTCACCCGTTGGTTATTTTGAAGAGTGTTTTATATTCCCAATACATTTTTCATTTTATTCTTCAGTACTGATGTCTAATGTACTTGCTAGAAAGTTAAGAAGTAAAGTCTATAGAATTATCTCTTTGAAACTTGTTAAGATTTCCTTATTTTTGTGCGTCGTTGAATCACTTCTGACTCAGAGCGACCCTGTATAGGATTTCAAAGAGTGGTGAGTTTCAACTGCAGACCTCTCGGTTAGCAGTCCAGTGCTTATCCTACAGCACTATACCGCTAAACTAGGGCTCAAGATTGCACTATAGTTTAGCATATGATCAATTTTCTACTGTGCATTCTATACTGGATGAAAATACTGTATTTATGTTTTAAACTATACTTAACTCTGCAGTTAAAACATTCTTTGTCCATTTTTTTTTTTTAATTGCTGGGCCTAACAATATATAATAAAGAGAAATGGTTTTAATATTCATTTACCTACATATTAGTGACCCTGGGTGGCGCTGTGGGATAATACACTGGACTGCAAGGTCGATTTGAACCACAAGGCTGGCAGATCAAATTCACTAGTTGCTCCCTTGGAAACCCTATTCAAGGTCACTATGAGTCAGAACTAACTCCATGGTACTTAACAACAACAACAATGTGTGTTTTGGACCCCTTGAATGGTGTAGGATTAGCACTGGACTGAGAACCTCAGGATCAGCAGTTCAAAACCACTAGCTGCTCCTCGGAAACCCTGTACAGGGTTACTATGAATTGGAACAGACTCGACAGCACTTATCAACATATGTATTTTAGTTTCCAATTGTATCCTCAATAACTAAATCAATACCTATGAACTAAAGAAATATTTGTTTAATTAATGAATTGATCTTTTATTTTGCTTCTAATTTTTTCTCTTATAGCTAGCCCCGTAATAACAAAATATACTATTTTTTCTATGTATAATTTTGTGTATTTCTTTATAGTATAGCTTGTTTCTATGTCTAACATATCATAGATGAAATAAATTCAATAGATATTCTAATTCAAAGTGTATTAGATTTTGAAGAAGTGCACATAGAGTCCTAGTGTGGCACTATTGGATAAGCAATGGACGGCTAACTGAAAGGTTGGAAGTTCAAACCCACCAGCCGTTCCTCAAAAACCTTATAAAGAGTCACTATGAATTGGTACCGACTTAATGGCTAATGACAACAAAAATAATACATATTATGTATTTATATAATGAGGGAGCTGCAAAATATTCATGAAAAAACAAAATGAAAAGATAATGGAATTTCTCCACAAACTTTTTGAAGCTCCCTAGCATAGTTATAACTGACCATGTTCACAAAGGATTTAAGGAAGATATAATAATACTGCATTGTGATCTAACAACACTGTGATTTC